ATACATTTTTCCCTGCAGTCTTGTCAGAATTTTCTATTTTTTTTTTTTTATTTCTTGATGATTGTCATTCTTTTGGCATCTTAGAATTGTTTTAATTTGCATTTCCCTGGTGGACAGAAATAAATAGTGTCTCATGTCTTAGCTGACCATTTGAACTTCTTCCTTTGTAAAGTGTCCATTTCACCTGCCTGTTCCTTATATCAGTCTTTAATTTTAGGTGGTCTATGATTTTTGTTCTTTATATATTGTATATATTAATCCTCTGTCTGAGGAACATCTGGAACAAATTACTTTCCCATTCTGGAGTTTGTCTCTTCAGTATACTAGCTCATTCCCCAATTGTACAGAGACTTTTCAACTTGATGTAATCTCATTTGTTGATTCTCACTGCTATTTCTTGGGCCATTGCAGTGCAACTGTTTAGAAAAATCCTTTCCTACAGCCATGCTATTCCTATTTTACCTATTTTATCTTCCCAGAGGCTGTTTCTCTTTTAATAGTGAGATCTTTTATCCATTTTTATTTTAATTCAGTACATGGTGAGAGATATAGTGCAGTTCAATCTTCTGCAAACAGTTACCCAGTTTTGGCAGCACCATTTGTTGAATAGACTGTCTTTCCTCCAAGGTATGCTTTGGCTCCTTTGTCAAAGATCAAAGGAAAAAGACCAAAAAAAAAAAAAAAGATCACATAGCTGAATGTGTCTGGGATGTTTCTGTACCCTCCATTCTATTTTGTTGGCCTGTGTATCTGTTTGTTTGTTGGTTGGTTGTTTTGTTTCATTTCAGTGCTATGCTGTTTATATCACTGTTGCTTTGTAGTGTAGTTTGAAATCAGGCATTGTAATCCCTCTTGCTCTGCTCTTTTAGCCCACAATTTCTTTTCCGACTCTGAGTTTCCTCTGATTACAAATGAATTCTAAGATTTTCCTCTTAAGATCTGTAAATTATTTTGTTACTATTTGGATTGACATTGCTTTAACTTTTATAACAGGGTCTGGGATTATAACTCAGTGGCATAGGTTCCTGCCTGGAAGGTCCTGCATTTAATATCTGGCATCAAAAATAAATAAGTATATGAATAAACAAATCTCTCTACAGGATTGAAAGTATGGACTTTTGATGGTATTGGTCCTGCTTATCCAGGAGTAGGGTAAATCTTTCCTTCCATTTTTACTCCTCAGTCTCCTTTATCAGAGCACTGCAGTATCTTTGTCAAGGTCTTTTACTTCCTTGGTTAGGTTAATTGCTAGGCATTTCATTTCTTTTGAAGCTACTTATCATTTTCATAATTTTCCTTCTCATCAAGTTCATTTTGGTGTAAAAATTACTGAGGATTTTTGTGCATCTATCTTGTATCCTGCTATATTACTAAAGTTAATTATTAATGCTAAGAGCTTTTTGGTGGAGTTCTTTGGATCTTCTATGTAGAATAACCTGCCATTTGCAAATAATTACAATTTGACATTTTACTTTACCATAATATTTCTTTTATTTCTTCCTCTTACCTGATTCCTGTGGCTAATGTTTCAAAAACTGTGTTGAATAAAATTTGTGCTGATTTTAAGGAATTGTTCCTGATTTTAGTTTTTTTTGTGTCTGCTTTTAGTTTTTCCCATGTAATATAGTGTTTACTGATGTTTTGACATAAGTAGCTTCTATCAAATTCAGGAATGGTTCTTCTATACCTGTTTTTTCAGGGAATTTATCATAACAATTAGTGTACTTTGTCAGAAGCTTCTCTTTCATCTGTTGGTATGGTCATATGATTTTTGACTTCACTTTTGTGAATGTGATATATTACATTTATGACTTATACATGATGACCACCCTTGCATATGTGGAATGGAACCTACTTTATCATACTATATGATACTTTTGTTAATGTACTGAATTTTATTCATTAATATCTTAAGAATTTTTGCATCTATGTTCATTAGGGAGATTGGCCTGTAGTTCTCTTTATAATTTGGTCTTTATCCAGTTCTGGGGTCAGGATGATACAGGCTTTCATAAGCAAATTTGGGAACACTCCATTCATTTCATTTTCTTTGAAAAGCATGCGGAGTATTGATGGTATAACATCGTCAGATATTTTATAGAATTCTGCAGTGAATCAGACATGTCCTGGGTTTCTTTATTACTTTATTAATATATTGATTCTATGATTATTGAGTTATTCAGAATATTTAGATCTTCTTCGGTTAGCTTTGGTAATTTGTATAGTCTAGGCAGACATCAATGTCTTCAAAATTTGTCAAATTTTGCAATACATTTTTTCAAAGTAACTATCTTCTGGATTTCAAACAGTGCCTGTTATAATTTTGCTTTTTCCATCTTATTTATTTATTTGTTTATTTATCCTTTTGCTTTTTCATTTCTTATTGCATTGATAATTTTTTTTCTCTTTTTCTCTTGGTAAGTCTGGCTGAAGGCTTAACTATTTTATTTATGGATTCAAAGACTTAAGTTATTTAATTTATTGATTTCTTATATATTGTTTTATCATCATTCCAATGATTTCTGCTCTAATCTTTATATAATTTCCCCCATCATTCCAATGATTTCTGCTCTAATCTTTATATAATTTCCCCCTTAATTTATGTTTGGGTCTGCCTTGTGATTGGTTCTTAAGTATCTTAAGATTTCTCATAAGTTTATTTATTTGAGTTTTCTCTGTTTTCCTAATGTGAGTATTGATTATGTTGAACTATCATGGTGTCCCACATGTTACAGTGATTTCTATTAGGATTCTCATTAACTTCCAGAAATTTTTAAAATGTCCTCATTAATTTCTTTTGTGACCCATTGGTTCTTTAGGAGTGTGTTGTGAATTTTCTAGGTTCTCACAATTTTTTGGTAATTTCTTCTGTCATTGATTTCTACTTTCACTGTGAAAGTAGTACGTATGAGGTAATTTCAATTCTTTTATATTTACCTAAACAGACTTTGTGGACTCGTGTGAATTATCTTGAAAAAATTACCATGTGCTGCAGAAAAGAATCCATATTCTGTTGTAGTGGAAAGGATTACTCTGTAAGATAACAATTAAACTTATATCCTCAAGGGTGTGGCCATTGCTGAAATTTCTTTATTGATTTTTTCTTTGATCAGTCTCTTTGTGAATGTGAGGCGTCAAGACAGCCCACTATGATTGTATTAATATTTGGTCTTTTACATTCACCAGTATTTGTTTCATGAAGATCAAAGCTACAGTAATTGGTGCACATGTATTTATCAATGTAATCTCTTCTTGTTCGATTGCTCCCTTTTGTGGAATGCAGTGATCTATGTGTCTCTTCTAGTCTGTTTTAGCTTGAAGTTTACCTTGTTTGAGGTTAAAATTGCTACCCCTGCTTATCTTTGGGGTCCTGTTGAGTGAAATGCTGGTTTTCATCCCTTCATTTTTAATGTATGAATTTCTTTGTGGATTAGGTGAGTTTCTTCAATACACCAGACTGTTGCATTTTTTTTGATCCAGTCTACCAATCTGTGTCCTTTAATTAAAGAATTGAAGCTACTAATGTTGAGAGATATTACTGAGATGTGCTGATTAGTTACTACCATGGCACTCTTTGTATTGGTGACTCCTTTGTTTTTTTCTTTTTCTGTCAGTTTTTTTTTTCCAGTTACTCTAACTGGTGTTTAATTTCTCCTGGGTGTTTCATTTATTCTAGTTGTATTTGTTTCATTTTCTAGGATATTGGTAGTTATTGCCCAGAGTGCTGTTTTGTAGTAATAAATGTCTTGAGATTGTCTTCCTCACAAAAACATCCTCATTTCACATCGATTGGAAAGAAAGCTTTGCTGCCAAGGTTAGTCTGGTTGGAAGTTATCTGCCCTTAAAGTTTGAAATATCAAGCTTTTGGGGCTGGGGATTTAGCTCAGCAGCATAAGCACCTGCCTTATAAGCAGGCAGTCGTGAGTTCGATCCCCGGTACCGATAGAAAGTTTTAAAAAAAAAGAAAGAAAGAAAGAAAGAAATACCAAGCTTTTCTAGCCTGAAGGGTTTGCGTTGAGAAGTCTGCTGTAATTCTAATTGTTCTAGATTTATATATTTATATTTTTCTACTTTTTTCCTTTGAGTGCTTTTTAGTTTTTTTCTTTTCTTTGATATTTGAGAATTTAATAGACATACATCTTGGCGAGCCTCTTGTTATCAGTGTTGTTTGGTGTCCCTGTATTCTTTGCTCCTTTTTATGTTGAACTCCTTTCTCATATTTTTGCTACAGTTTCTGTGAACATGTTAATAATACCATCTGTGTTATCTTCTAGCTTTTCTCTAACTGCAAGTAACGTTAGTTTGGTCTTAGTGTCATTTAGTAGCTGCTGAATGGCACTTTTTTGCATTTTTAATGACTTCCTTTAATGCCTTTTAAATAGCATTTTTCCTGAATTTCTTACACTCACTCTTCACACTGACCATCTCTGCAATTTATAAATCATGTATAAATTTTCATCTCAGGAATTTCCACCTGACATATTTTCAAGGATTGTATAACCATATTGAATCTCTCACTTATGTTTTGGGCAGCTTTGGTCAGGTTGCCCAATTTTTATTAATTTCTTCTGCATTCACCTGGGGCATATTGAGTGATGATGCCATAAAGTTCTTCTTTATTTCTCTTTGAAATTGTATAGTTTTCACCTCTTCTATACACTTTTCATAGAACTTTGCTCCTGGTATTTGTTTTCCTTTCTATTTGGGCTCCCTGGCTCCATTTTAGGACTCTGCTGCCTTGTTCCCACATGATCCTGTACGTCACTATAAACATCTATTAATGAATAAAATGCCATGAACTCTGGATATGGACACAGAGAGAACACTGGTTGCTATTTACTATTATGTTGTCTTGCCTGTATTTGTAAATGTAGTGACACTGCTAGTGTCGAATGACAACTGGATGTGTCAAACTGTCGATGTCGCTCCCGGCCGGCAGGAAGGACACACGACAAAGTCTGGCAGTGGACAACCTTTTCTTTTATTTTCTCTCCGTACAGCCTGCCCTGGGATCGCTCCCAGCCGAAGCCTCCTCTGGTCCGCTCCCCGCGGCTCCTTCCGTGCTTCGCTCCGAAGCCTCTACCGGTCCGCTCTCCGCGGCTCCTTCCGGGCTTCTACTTCCCCCCAGGGGTGGCACCAGTATATATACGGATACAGTGTCCAATCATATTAAAGTAAGCAAGGCAAGCTGATTGGCTAACATATTATTGAGCGGGTTGTTTACGCGGTAAGCAGGAAACTAACGTGCTCGATGGGAGGGGTAATCTAACTCAGGCTTTACTCTTTACCACAGGCCGCATGATCGCTATATGCGGCGGCTCGGCAATGTGGTGGCTCCCAACATCAAACCATGGGAGCCACTCCTGCACTTTCCTTAGCCTGAACTAAGAAGGTTATGGTTTTGATCAGACAAACTGTATGCTGGCCATAATACTTTAAACTGTGGGACTCTACTGAGTGCAGGTGGCTGTGCCAGTGGTCGAAGACATCACTACACTGCTTATACTGTATAACTTGATGGTTCAGTTTGAATGTGTTGGTGGCTCAAATCCATTTAACTTAAATGATGAGAAGAACCAATCAAAATGGAACCTCACAGGTGTGCTGATGTGTACAATTAGATGCATAATGCAGCTTCTCTCACCAATGGTTTCTTTGATTTCTTATATTTATATTTTGATTGATCTTATCACATGCTAAGAAATAAAATATAAGTTCATGAGATTTAAAATATATGGACAGGCATGTGTATATCCACAAATTGTGTGCTTTTAAACACTTTCAAACATGTTTTTTGATAACTTTTAAGCTTCTCCTATCTCCATTGATTAAAATATTCTTGTCATTAATTATGTTTTATCATATCTATGAATAAGGATGTGAAGATGCTTAAAATTTTTAGGGAAGCATGAGTAGAATTTCAAAATTCATGACAATCAGTAATGGAGTAATTGATGAGTGAAAGACTTTTGTAATACTCTAAGCTCAATACTGCATATCACTATGCAGGCAGGCGTTTGTAAGCATGAAAGATTTTGCTTCCTTTAAAGAAATTAACCTAGAAAGTGATCATCCAAGCTCAGAGTATCGAATATTTCTCACATGTTGTTTAATGGTAATATACTTAATAAATAATGTAATAAATCAAACAGTAATCTAGACAATACACAGAAACATACTTTGTTTATTATAAATATCATTTTGTATGTAATCTAGCTCTTGGACATCTGACAATTGGAGCAAACAAGTATTTTATGGATATTGCAAATGCTGTCCTTATTCTGAAATTTTGAACGCCATCTTGCTCTTTGGCAACATCAATACACACTTGCAGTTTGTGAATTTAGAGATCTCGTGAGTCTTTTGCTGTTAAAGACCTCTATGTAAGATTAGAGGATTCCTGAACTTTCCTACAGTCACTCTAATCAAACCTGCTTAAAATCTCTCCTCAGAATTTTTCCTAGAAAATACAATTATATTTTTATAGTCATCTCTAACTTTATAAACATAAACAAAACTCAGAAAAAAGCTGTATCACCTATGGTTGATCAGCCAGAGGATATGTGAACATATGAAATATTAAGCATACTATTTTCATCATTTATTTTGGAGGTCTAATATTAGCATGCTTTGGCCAAATGACAATATTGCAAACAGGCAAGATTTTTTAAAGAGCAATTTATCAAATTTCAACCTCATAGGTCCATGAAATGTATTTTTATAACAGACTTTTTGGCACATAAAATGTTAATAAATATTAATTTGGGGTTTTTTAACTTGAAATCATTCATGGACGTTATTTTGCTAATTTTTGCTATAAATTTAATTATTTTTAAAATATTTAATCACGCTACCATACACACTTGATTATGGCTCTTATTATCAGAATCATTTTGTTGTATTTTTCTTATCCAATCTCAGTACTTCACTTTTGTATGTTCCCAGGTCTTACACCGCATGTATCACGATGTTTGGTATTTGGAATGAGGAAACAGCATAGAGAGGAGAAAACAGAACTCAGTACACTATATTGTGTAATCAAGTACTAGCTTTACCTGAGCTGTTGCTAAATTGTGATGTAAAATATGAAGGAAGAGATGATAGAGGATTTAGAGATAGTACAGTATGAAAAAGCCATATATTTATTTAAATGAAAACAATACTGATGGTGCATATGAATATGCATGTGTGTGAGAGACAGACAGAGAGAGAAAGAGAGACACAGAAGGTGAGAAGTGCCAGTTCATACTTTTCTGGTGAGGTATGGAAGAGAGATTGGTTACAGAATAACACAGGCACACAGGGAAGAGCCTGAAGGTCATCAAATCAAGTGTATTGTACATCACTAAGCACTTTAGTGATGGATTTTAAAATTACAACAATTCTGAAGATGCAAAAGTAACTTCCAGTATGGCATGTAGTAGCTCACTGTTAAGAGCAGAGGACAGAGATCATAAGACATCTGAATAAATCATTTAGTGTAATAGGGTTCATGCAAAAAACTTCGTAGGGTTAGGGTTAGGGTTAGAGTTGACTCTGGCTGCTCAAAGGGGACAGAGGTGGAAAGGTGAAGCTGTTGGGCTGGAGCGTGGAGGCAGGTTGAGTCTCATGCTGGGGTCCTGGAGGCAGAGAAAGCTCCAGGGTGTGGCACGGGGATCTCTCCCATCGGCGGCCTTTGAAGAACTTCCCAGATGGGATGTCATAAAGCTGGGCTGGGAAACAGGTGTCCCCGGGCTTTTCCGGCACTGGTTACCCCCTGGTCCACCCTGGGAAATGGAGCTCTATGAGGTCGAGTTTGTGGTTTCCTGGTCACTGAGACCCCTCTGCCTGGATGGCCCAGAACCACCTCCACCGGGCTTTCCCCCTGTCAGGAGGAAAGCTGGACCAGACAGGCGACACCCAATCTGCCTGGAAGAAAGCTCGGAGTGGGGGCTGCCCACGTGCCCATAATATCTGCGCAGGCTTTGATTGTTATCCAGCTGGCACTGCGGAGCAGCGAAACGGTACAGTTCCCAAGTTCTCCAGAGGTCCCTGCCTGCTGCTCCCAGGGAGCCCGCGGTCAGTCATTTCAGCACTCAGGAGGCTGAGGCAGGAGGATCACCATGGATCCAAGGCCTACCTGGGCTACGTAGTGAGTTCAAGCTGGCTTCAAGTACATAGTGAGACCCTGTCTCAAAATCCGCCCCCACCCCAGTTTATTTTAGGGAGATCAGTTTAAGTATTGTAAGAAACACGCGGTCAATGGCTGGAAGGCAAAGCTTGGCTAATCTCTCTGGGCTCTGTCAGGAGAATCGCTGGGGATCTTGGTTGTCCAGTGAGTCATAGAAGTCCCAGATTGCTTTAAATGTGCTCAAGGGCTGTTTCCTAACACATCAGGAGGGTGTGCGACCGAGCAGAGCGCACAGACTACCAGAGGCGTCTGCCCTCGGCAGCGCATGCGTGAGTCCTGGGGCCTGGGGAGCAGAGCTGGGACAACGCCTTCCCGGGGCATAAAACGTTGAGGTTTGTGTTTTAGGAAGGGGTTGCTTGTAATTCAGCCTAACATACCCTGTAGCTTCCACAACTATGGGAAACAGGAAAAGGCTTTCTGAAAGCTGTTTTCTGACAATTTTGCATTTTAAAGAAATGCTTGGGCAGATTGATTGCTAAGTGTCTTGGAGTTGGAATTCGATAAATGATAACTAATCAGGACCAGGATCGGAATCTGGGTGAACACGAAAGTAACCGAAGTGTTTTAGGGGCTGTTGTTGTTTTGTGAGACAGGGTCTCACTGTGTATCCCCAGTTGGCCTGGACCTTGTGGTGACCCTCCTGCCTCAGCCTTCCAAGTGCTGGTATGTCAGGTATGCACCACCATGGCTGGCTGTCATTTAATCATTTTAAAATTTGGTCCTGCTCGGGTTGATGAGGACTCTGTTACCTATTGGGAGATACAAACAATGTCCAAGACCAATGTCCAAGGCACCCTGGGTGTTCACTGTCATGGTGACTAATGCCATGGGAGTTCACAGGACAGTGCACCAGCCAGGTGGGCAGTGGCCAGGTCTTGAAGCTCCTAGAGGAACTGAGAATTGAGCCAGTTCTGCAAAGATGGGACAATACTAGGGGTTCCAGGGGGAGAGTGGTGGGGCCAAGTCACTGGAGGGGAAAAAGATGAGCCGGAAGAGAAGGGCAGGAGAGTGACTGGGCGTGGCCACCAGAAGAGACCCATGAGTCAGCCAGGGACTTCAGCTGTGGTGGGGACGGGAAAGGGGAGCCCCCAAGGCTTTCAGCTGGTGACTGCTGTGATGGAAATGTATTAAATGTGTGGTAGTACATGCTGGTAATTCCAGCACTCAGGAGGATTGCTATGAGGCCATTTTGGACTATGTAACAAGACCCTGTTTCAAAAGAACAAACAAAATACTAAATTTGTTAGGAAATAATAATTTATTCTAACTGCCACAGCGGTTTTCTACTTCTCTAAACTGTACAGTCATGGTAATATAGCAATAAAATATTGCACATTCTGTAAGTTATTCTGGAAAATATACCAACCCGTAAAAATTTTGTTTTAAGGGGTGGGGGTATAGCTCAGTTGCATAGCACCTGCCTGGCGAGCACGAGGTCCTGATTCCCGGTACCAAAGAAATTTTTTTTTGTTTTAATGGGAACCCATATTTCAGTTTTCAAATAACCAGATATATGCAAGTTTAGGGAGCATATAATTACCGATATTATGATTTCAACTTTCCAGACCACACACATGTGTCCTTAAAGCCAGAGGCTGCATAGAAACACAGGAAAGAAAAAGTGTTCATGCTCAGAGCAGGAGATGTGTTCTCCTTAGAAATGTTATTAGATTCGATTTATGTGATTAAAACACGGTGAGGCCTAGGGTCATAACCCAGTGGTAGAGTGATTACGTAGTCTGTGTGCAACCCAGGGTTAATCCCTGCCCAGCCAGGAAGAAAGACAGGGAGAAAGAAAAAGAGATCAAGAGAGGAAAAAAGGTAAAAGTTTAGTAGGAGACAAATGCAAAATTAAACTGTCATCTCTTTAAAGGTGACTCTTCCCCATGCCTGTGCACAATAGCCTCCTCTGTGTCCTCACAGAATCTCATTTGCAAATGGTTGTCATTGTTCTTGTTTGTGAGAGGGGGTCTCACTGTGTAGTTCACACAGGCCTTGAACTCGTTACTCATGGTGATCTTCCTGCCCTAGCCTCCTGAAGCTCCACCGTACCGCACCTAGCTGCACATTTTTATATGAAGGTCATGGGGACAAAATGTAGTCGGACTCAGGAGAATTCCTCACTAGACCCCCTGCATCCTTGGGCCTCCTCACCAGGCCCCCCAGCACCAAGGAGTGGCAAAGGTTTCTCCTCCAATGGGGCTGCAGACGGGGGGGGGGTCTAGCTCAGTGGAGGCCGAGCACAAGGGAGGCCCTGGGCACAGTGCCAGCCCTGAAGGAGAGAGACATAGCTGGCAGAGGGGGGACGAGCACGCAGAGCTCCTGACTCCCAGCAGAGCACAGGCACCGGCTCAGCCTCAGACGTGCATGTCGGCAGCAGGAGGGACATGGTCACAGGAGAGGAGGTGAGAAGGGCGCCCCGGAGTCACACGGAAGTCCTAGCTGCCCACCTCGGGAGGTCTCCTTTTACTCCCCACAACACAGCAGTTTCCCCACTGATCAGATGGGCAGAAGCCAGAAGCAAAGGGTACGCCTATAATCCCAGCAATCAGGAGGCTGAGGGAGGAGGATTGCCATGAGTTCAAGGCCAGCCTAAACTACCACATAGTGAGATTCTGTCTCAAAAATCAAATCAATCAGTCAGTCAGTCAAAGAAGTTCTGAAGTGGAGGGGCTACCACAGTCTTGTCCTGTTCCCAAAAAGATGGAAAGAGAACAGCGTCTGGGGGCAGGTCCTGAGAAACCCCACATCTCAGTGTCATCCACGTGTAATGGTGCAACTCTAGGTCTCACTGATTTTCAGAAATCCCAGCGTCTGTCACCCTAACTGGCATCAAGTTGACGCTAAAAAGTCTGGACTCTGAGATAGTGGGAAGAATGTGTGATTGTGTGGTAACGGCAGCCCGTGTGACTCCTAACACACAGACAAGATATCGTAGTAGCTCATTCACTGGCCCTCGGAGACCCTTATTCTTCTACTCAGCTTTGGGAACCACCTGTGTAGGTATATGATGCCATTATGCCTATTTAGCTAGTTAGTTAGTTATTGAGACAGGGTCCTACAGTGTAGCCCAGGCTGGCCTGCAAGTTGCAATCTTCCTGCCTCAGCCTTCCAGAGTGCTGGGGTGCCAGGTGTGTACCATCACACCTAACTAACTATGCCCATTTCAAGATGGGAAAGCTGAGGCTTTGGAAGGATGTTTGGAAGCACTGTGGAGCATGGAGTTGAGTGATGAAAAGGAGAGGATGGGACCCAGCAGGGCTGCCTGGTGTGCACTAGGGGAGCACTGTCCTGTGGGTCGGCAGGCTGGATGAATGAATCCATCCCTGTAGGCTCACATTGCTGAGGTGACTTTGGGCCGGGTCACTGTACAGCACCTGATGAAGAGGAGTCTCGTGTTTGGGTGGGGATGGCTCTGGGCCATGGCCAGGCTCTGCTGCCGCCCTCTGCGGACCGGCTTGGCTTGGCCGATCTGACTGCATTCAGGACAGGACAGGCAGGCACTGTGCTGAGTGCCAGGCTGGCAGAGAGCTTGCCTACACAAAGGGGACTCAGAAAAGCACCTCTCCTGTCACCAGAGTGCTCAGTACTCCATGAGCACAGCTGGGTGCTCAGGGCGAGGAGGCTATGTGCAGAACCCAGTACAGGGTTGGAAACAGCTGGTGACAGGGAGACTGCTGAGCCATGAAGAAGCTGACAGCGTATCTGATTATCACTGGGGAGGGGACACTGAAACAGGTCTCCTTGTGTAGTTCAGGCTGGCCTTGAATCCTCGAGATCCTCCCGCCTCAGCTTCCTGCTGGCTGGGATGACAGGCATGTACCAACCCATTTTAGTTACCTGGGGAAAGCCAGGACGTGATGTCACATCCATCCAGCACTTACAGACTTTGCCTTTGTTCTGTCAGCACAGCTCGTGAGAGCTGAGCTGTGTTTAGTTCTGGGGTGTGAATGTTCCCAACAGACAGCAGATAGGACAGGAGATGTTCAAACCCTCATCCCTGCGGGAGCAGGTAAAAGCGAAGCTGTGCTTGGCCTTTGTCAGGAGGAGCCCACACCTAAGCCTGCAGGAGACACTAGAAGGTGTCAGGATTTGGTATAGGCACCGAAACTTTTTCTTACTCTGTCTCTCTATGTGTGTCTGTCTTTGTCTCTGTCTCTGTGCTGGGGATGGAACCCAAGCCTTCAAGCATCCCCTCTGCAGTGGAACTTTTAAAAGCTCCTCTGATGCGGGTGAGGATTGGTGGTGCATATCTGTCATTCCAGCACTCAGGAGGCTGACGCAGGAGAATCACTAAGAGTTCAAGGCCTGTCTAGGCTACCTAGTGAGTTCAAATTCAGACTCATACTATTTAGTGGTACAGTGACTCAAAAAACAAATAAACAGCTTGTGGTGATGGTTACACACGGTGGAGATGCGCACTGTTTGGAAAGCCATATCTGGGAGAGGAGGAGAGGCTCCTTGGAGGAGGACTTTGGCACCTTCCCAGGCTGTAAGGGAGGCAGAGCACACTGCCTGCGGAACTTGGCTTCCTAGCATCCATGCACGCAGGGACCAGGGGGAGCAGTGCGGCTCCGCATCCCAGCCCTGCCCCACTGCCCTCCTTCTCTTTTTGTTCTATTGAATTTTCCCATAAGATTTCCCTTTAAAAAAGAGACCTGCTTAGGAAAAAGTTTGGAAACCACTTCCCCCACAGACTTTTAGGCTGGTACTAACTCTGAAATTCCACCACAGTCAGTCTTCTTCGATGGTTTCTAAGAAATCAGGCTACTGACAGAGCTGTCTTTCCAGAGTTGAGCCAGGCATGGTGGTGCATGCCTGTCATCTTAGCACAGGGGAGGCTGAGGCAGGAGGATTGCCTCGAGTTCCAGGCCAACATAGTGAGACCCTGACACAAACAAGCAGCAAAAACAGAATGTGAGGGGAAAGGCAACAGGGGCTGAAGCAGGGCAGCATGACTGGAGGCCTTCTCTATGCTGAGGGCAGGGCAGAGGACCCTGTCCAGCCTCTCCCGGCACCATTCACCTGTCTTTTGGCTGAGCCAGGTGCAGGCCTTTACCACTGCAGTGCTGGGGCACAGGTTGGACAGGTGAACAGGTAACCCTGAGGCTGGGTGGAACCGATAACCACATGTGTGACTCAGCCCAGGTTCGTCCGAGTCAGAGAAGAAAGACTTGTTGGGCTGCCACCTGCAGGACCCACCCGGTGCCAGTATTACATTTGTGGTTTTGGTTTTTTGAGACAGGGTCTCACTATGCAGTTCGGGTTGACCTTGAACTCACTGTGTAGCCTGGTCTGGCCTCCACCTCGAAATGATCTTCCTGCCTCAGCCTCCCAAGTGCTGGGATGACAGGGGTGTGCTCCATAATGGCCACACTCCTGGAACGGCTGCTTTGACTGAAGGGAGTCACTTCTGGTAGGCCAAAGGGTGGCCGCAGGAGCCTCGCTGCGGTGTGACCGCAGCTATGGGCAGCTTCCCCTACCCACTAACCTGGGCTGCTCACGAGGAAAACACCAGATCAACCCTGTACAAAGGACATCACGCCACATACCTGACTGGTTATTTTGTTTGTTTATTGTTTGAAGCAGAGTCTCACCGTTTCCCAGTTTGGACTCCAACCCGGATCTTCCTGCCTCGGCCTCCAAGTGCTGCGGGTCCAGGTGTGGCAGCCATACCTAGGCCTGACTGATGATTTTCAAAACGTTCGAGTTCATCAAATCTCAGGGAAATGTTGCTGTCAGGAGGAGCCCAGGGGACGGGACTGCTCGGTGAGAGACTGGAACAGAAAAGGGACATTAGGGGGAAGAAGAGGCTGAGAGGCCTTGCTCCCGGTTGGTGGCTTCTGACAAATGCTCCAAAGTAGTGAGGTTTGTGACAACGCGACCCAGGCACAGGCACTGCCCTGAGACAGACATTGCTTCAGACACGCTTTCCGGATGCTGAGACCACAGCTCCCGAGAGCAGTGAGTGGACAGTGGTCTTTCAGCATCAAAGAAGAAATCAAGGAATCATATTTTTAGTTCGAACACAGCCTTATCGGGATACAGAAACATCAGTTATTTATATATGTATATATATATATATATATATATATATATATATATATATTGTGTGTGTGTGTGTGTGTGTGTGTGTGTGTGTGTGTGTGTTTGGTACTGGGGACCCAATCCAAGGTTGTGCTACCAATGAGGTACATCCTGATATTTCTTTCAAGGCAGAGTCTGACTGCCAGGCATGGTGGTTCAGCCTGTAATCCCAGCATTCAGGAGGCTGGGGCAGAAGCATCACTGTGAGTTTGAGACCAGGCTATAGCAAGACCCTGTCATAACACAACACAACACAGCAAGACTGAGTGTTGCTCAGGTTGGTCTTGAACTGGAGATCCTCCTGCCTCAGCATCTCAAGTTACCTGCATGGAGGTTATGTGCACCGCGCCTAGATTTTTTTTTTTTTTTTGTATGTTTGTTCAACTGTCTTGAGACAGCTTCAGTAAGTTCTCCAAGCTCCCCTGGAGCTCTTAGCTCTTACCTCTTAGTCGGCCTGTGTCAGGGCACCGCCTTCTGCGGTTGTCGTTGGGGATCCCCTCCTGGGCAGCAGACTCTGCTCTCTGCCGCGTCTCTCCAGTCTCCCCATCCACTCCAGGTTCAAACAGCTGTTGCCAGATTGCCCAGGTGTTGTGCTGACGCTTGGCCTGCTCGGGCTCGGGAACTCCCTCTTCCTCCTGTACTGGATTCACGTCATCTGGTCAACAATGGCTTTGTTGCCATGGAGACCGGACTGGCCGCAAGACAGTCACGGTCCGCACAGGTGTGACCGGGAAGGTCTCCACCTCACCTGCGGCCTCCGGCTGTGCGGCAGCTGCAGACAGCGGCAGAGACCCCGCGTGCCGGTCCCCAGCTGCGCTGTCCCGCCGCGGTGGCCCCGGCGCTGCAGGCCGGGGAGGCCGGGACGCTGCGTCCTGTCCGAGGGACCGTGTCCCGCAGACCCGCCAGCAGCGCGGTGGGTGAGCGGCTTCCTGTCCCTCCAGTGTCGCCAGGTGACGCCTCCGGGCTCTTGTGTATTTTTAGCTGGGGCAGAGAAGAACCTGGAGCCCAAGCTGCTCATCTCTGATGGAGGCGTCTTCCTGAATCCGCCTGCGGCTCCTCCTCTCTCGGTGTGAAAAATAAAAGCCGTGGCGTTGGACGCCCCCTCCCCGAGGCCTGAATAAGTGTGAATACTGCAGCTGAGAATCACCGGGGCTGGCACACGTGGTGGGTTAACCTCCCCCCACTTCCCTCCCTCCCTCATTCCGCCCCTTCACGGGGTCTTATTTGTAGTTCCAAACTGGCCGTGAACTTGTGATTCTCCTGCCTCAGCCTTCCAAGTGCACGGATTTCAGGCTCACAGACATTTTAATAGTACTAACCACATGCGTGCATGCTGGCAGTGGAGCTGGTCGCTTCACTCGCTGATTTTGTGACATTTCTGTGATGTATCACATGCTGGGTACTGAAATAAGGGTATTGAGATCTTAACATTCTAAGACTAGGGATGCGTGTAATAAGCATGTATAAAAGTAAAAAGTGTTAGCCTTTCCATTTGGAGACTTAAAGTGTGAAAGAACGGGGAATCTGTTACTTTACAGAGATCTCATTGTGAGCAGTGCAGAGTATATTTTTGTTTTTGTTTTGTGGTACTAGGGATTGAACCCACGGCCTTTGTTCTAAGTTACATGTTCACTTTATTAATTTTCTTTTAAATTTTGAAGCAGGGTCTTGTTGCTAAGTTGCTAAATTCCCTGGGAAGTTGCCATCTTCCTGTCTTAGCTTCCTAGAATGCTAGCATGACAGCTTGTGTGTCTTGTTTCTTTGACAGTATACATTTAGGCAAAACTAAACATACACCATCTAAATAATTTGGCACTTTCTTTTCTTCTTTGACTTGATTTTATGTCATAAGCACTTTCCCCTGTCATTATGAACTCTTCCTAAATAATCTTATTGATGATCATTTCATGCTTATATTATGTACAAAATGTCATCATTTTTCCATGTACTATGACATGGATCAAAGAGTTTATTTTTTAAGTCATACATCTGTGTCATAACCCATAAATATGTACAATTATTAGTATGTGTCAAGAAAATATAAAACAAAATTGCAATTAAAAGTAATAATGATAAGCCAGGCATGGTGGTGCACTCCTGAGACTCCAGCACTCAGGAGGCTGAAGGAGGACAATCATTGGCAAATTTGAGACCAGCCTGGGCTATAAAGTAAGCCCAAGGTCAGCCTGAACTTCACAGTGAGACCCTGTCTCAAAAAGACAAATAAAATAAAAAGTAATCATGATAATAAATCTGTCTTGGCCACACTATAACCAAAGTTCTTTGGAAAAGCCAACCTCATGTGTGTTTTGCGCTATCTTTGCTGTTTTCTTCAAGACACACGTGTGCATATGCGCTAACACATGCACATATGTGTACACACACTCACATATGCGTACACATACTCTGGAGCCCAATGGACCACAGTTGCGGATGTAACTCCTGGCTTTCTGTCCAGCAGGACAGTCATTGTCCCTGCTCCTGGCCATGGCCTTGTGATGGACCCTGTCCTCTCCATGGGCCAGGCCTGCTTTGTCTACATGGCATCCAGCCAGGAGCAGCCCATTCCCACCCCCAGGAATCCCAGCACTCCCGGAGGCTGAGGCAGGAGGATTATAACTTCCAGTCTAACCCGGGCAACTTAATGAGACCCTGTCTCATAATTTAAAATATAGGCTGAGGCTGTATCTCAGTTGGAGGATCTTGGGCTCAATTTCCAGCACTTCCAAACAAAACAAAAACAAAGAACTACCCATGGGAACTAACTAGATGGCACCTGTCCCAGGAGCATCTTCCACTTTGGCCCCGTGTGGGCCACGCAGTAGGTGCTCAGAATGTTGAAAAGGGTAGGGGACCACAGCACACTCCCTTTTATTTTTAGTAAGCAATACTGCTAGGTGTGATGGCGCAGGCCAGTACTCACAGCACACAGGAGCCAGGGCAGGAGAACCATGAATTTGAAGCCAGTCTGGCTACACAGAGTCCAAGACCAGTGTAGATTACACAGTGAGACCTTGGAGGTGTGACAGCAGACAGGGTGGGGTGAACCAGGCTGTGGAACCAGCGGGGCCTGTGAGTCACAAGATCCCAGGCAACCAGGGCACCACAGAGAGCTTCCATGAGCGCCTGTGAGAAGTGGATGGCAAAAACGGCCCGGCTGGGGGAACCCACGTCCTGGTCTGCATGCCGTCTCTGCTAGAGAGCTGTGTGCTTTCATTTTTGCTTTTGCCTTTGTCTTTTTTCTTTGTTTGGCCCAAATTCGCTCTGCAGAGCTGGTTTCTTCCATATCCATTAACCCCGCACTTTTCAAATAAACATTGGAAACCGTTTTGGACTTGTCTCACCCAGTTCTTTGTTCAATGCAAGAAAGATCTGGAATACTTTGAATTGGCAGAGTTGCTTCTAAAGAAATCAGCCTGAAACACAAAGAGGGAAGGGAGGGAGGGAGGGAGGAAGGAGGGAAGGAAGAGGGAGGAAGAGAAAAGAAGGGAAGAAAGAAAGAGAAAAGAAAGAACCAGAAAGATCTTCAAAGTTGGCGTGGGCATCTTAGACCCTTTCTCAAAACAAAACACCAGGAGCCCTCAGAGCCCACTCGGGCAAAGAGGCCCTGGCCGGGTGACAGGCGGGACTGCAGACAGCAGTGCTGAAAGGTGCATCAGGAGCCCATGAATTCTGAGCTCCTTGCTGATGATAGATTCCTGGAAGCAGAGAGCGCAGGCCAGAGCACATAAACACTTCACAGTGCTGGCAAGGATGGCTGCTTCCCAGAAAGGTTCTCAGGGCTGCTGCCGCGCGCGGCGAGGCGATGGTCCTCCTGCTCCTTGTCTGTTGCCAGCTCAGGAAAAGCAAGCGCTCTGGCTAACTCACTGAAGGAAGGCACGCTGCAGATGCTCCTGCACCGGAGTCATGGAGTGAGAGGAATGTGTTCATAGCGCGCACGCATGCCTCTGTGTGTGTGTGTGTGTGTGTGTGTGTGTGTGTGTGTGTTTGGACACTGAACCCAGCAGCACCACTCAATATCTGCATTGCCCTGACATCTCTTTTTATTTTCTGTTTTGGGTCAGGGTGTCTTGTTTGTTTGTTTGGAGAAAGGGCCTAACTACATAGCCCAGGCTGGCCTTGAGCTCTCATGATCCTCCTGCCTCAGCCTCCCCCAGTGCTGGGATTATAGGCCTGCACCACTATGCCTCGTGGAGAATTTTATGTTTTGGTATCGGTTTTCGAACTCAACCTCGAGCTTGCCAGGCAGGTGCTTACGCTGCAGAGCTAAAATGTTCACGGAGCATTTTAAAAGGTATTGACTTATCTGTTATATATCACCCTGATAGACATTTGAATCTCTCCTTAGGGTTTTCTTAATTTTCCACTAACACTGGTACAGGCCAGCCGGACGGCATAATCATGTCCCTTGGGATTTCTTACAGTGCTCTTAAACTTACAATGTTGTGCACCATCAGCAGTGAAAGAAATATTCAGTGATTTTCTGTCGGTGTCAATATAGTTTGCCCTCCCTTCCTCTCTCTGTCCCTTTCTTCCTTTTCCTTCATGTCTTTTTTTTTTTTTTTTTTTTTTTTTTTTTTTTTGACAGTCTCATGATGTTATTTGGGTTAGCTGGTTTGAAATCTTGATCCTCCTGCCTCAGCCTCCCCATTGCTGGGATGACTGGTGTACACTAGCTCAGTTTGATTTCTGTGTGCTCACACTAGCTCCTGTATGTGTGCATGTATGTGCAGGTGTTCTTGGGACTTTTTTGTTTTGAGATGGGATCTTGCTATGTAGTACAGGCTGGCCTTGAACTCATGGTGATTCTCCTGCCTCAGCCTTCTGAATGATGGGAGTGTAGGAGTGCACCACCACGCCCAGAGATGTCCTTGGTTTTCACCCAAGGGGAATTTAATTTGGTGTCTGGCACGAGGGCACGATGGTCTTCTGCTATAAAGACTGAGCCATGGTCTCGGGGTACTTGTAGGGTGACCTTTCCTTTCCCAGGATTCAAAGTGTCTCTTTCACTCACTGGAAGTGGCTGCTGTCCTTGTGCAGTACCTTCCCTAAGTGACTCTGGCCCTTTGCCATTTGCAGGGTTTGGGAGGCTGAGGCAGCGGGGCACCTTCTCTTCCCTCCTCAGCCCCCTCATTCTCACAGTCTCTGCTCACCAGTGATTCTGCTTCCCTAAGCCCCCAGAGAAGCCTGAGGTCAGAGCCTGGCAAAGCACAGTGCATTTGCAGGAAGCCATTGGCTGACTCAGCCACGTTTACTTTCTCTTTTTAAATTTAATTATTTTAATTGGCCATGTTTACGTTCTGGTTTGTTTTGTTATTTTTGAGACAGGGTCTCACTACGTAGCCCAGGCTGGCCCTGAATGCATGGCAACCCTCCTGCCTCAGGCTCCCGATGGCTGGGATCACAGGTGTGCACCACACATCTTGCGTTCCATTTAGCTGTGCTTATAAATGTGGTTTTCTGGCTTTCTAATACCACAGCTTCATCTTATTGGGCATTGCACTCTATGAAGACTCACAGCTGGGGGACAGAAGGCTGCTCACAAGGTGGACTCTGTGATCACCCTGGTGTCCACAGCACCCCGCTAGCACCATTTCCATGGCTACACTTTCTTCTTTTGCATAACCTGGCAGCCCTGTGCAGGGGAGAAGTGGGCTGCGCTAACAGAGAGACTGCAGGCCTCGGGCTGCTTGACAGGAAGCCGCCAGCTGTGGACTGAGAGAGGCGAGGGAGGAGACGCTGCTGAATTTGCTTGCTGCTGTTCACAGCTGGCCTGCCACTTGGTTTTACTGGTGCAGTTTGCAGTGCGGCTCGCATCCTTTGAATGGAGCTGGTCACATGCATGACGCAGCCGCCTTTCACCACCTCCTGGTGCCCCCTCTCACCTGAGAACATCGCCCTACTTCCTGTTACCCATTTTGCTCTTTATTTCTAGTCACATACTGCCATAGTTCTTGTGGGTTGGCCCCTGGGAAAATTAGGATCAAAGAACATGCTGTGTCAAAGTACTAAGCACTACAAACGTTCATGTGCCACATTTTCCATAAATCAATACTGGAAACAGATGCAAAGGATTATTTTTATATTTTGTGACACAAAAGCAGATGGGTGTAAGAGGATACTGATATTTCAGGAAGGTGTCACAATTCCTATCACAGTGCTACCAGAAATCAGGCAAAGTAAAGCACAATCACAATACCAGCACTTGGGAAGCTGAGGCAGGAGGATTCCTGGCATTTTTGAGGCCAGCTGGGCTACATAGTGTGAACTCAAGGTCAGTCTAAACTACATAGTGAGACTTTAAAAAAACTATAGGGATTTTTCCCCATTAGCAAGCAAGCAATTCCTGTGGCAGTGGACACTAGTATCCAGCCCAGTTTGGACCTTGTCCATTAACACTAGCATCTATTTGACCCTGCAGGCTGAGGGCTTTGTCCAATGCTGCTTTATTTTTACCTGTGCTTCTATGACTTGGGCTTATACCAGCCTCACATCAGGTTTGGTTAACTTAATAAACTCAAACATTTTCTTTTTTATTTTTTTGACAGTCTCTGCTGTAGTCCAGTCTGGCTCTGAACTACATAGCCCAGTCTGGTCTTGAATTTGCAGCCATCCTCCTGTCTCAGCCTCCCAAGTGCAGGGATTACAGGAGTTCACCACCACACCTGGCTTTCAGGGAAAAAAATTTTTTTTTTTTTTTTTTTTTTTTTTTGGTGGTAGCAGGGATTGAACTCACGACCTTGCACTTGCCAGGCAGGTGCTTATGCCGCTGAGCTAATTCCCCAGCCCCTCAGGGAAAATTTATAATGGGCTGATCATAAAAATTCTTGGCCTCTCTGCATACTCTACTCTCTGGGGGTGTGGGGCAGGACTCCCTGCAGGGAGGCCACCTTTTGACCTCTGCCATATAGGGTGGCTCAGAGAATTTCCTAAATTGGCTGTGAGAGTTAAGGCAGCAGAAGATTCATGTCCGGGAAGGGAAATGCTATTTTTCATGGCTGGGCTTGGAGAGGGGGTTATGATCAGGAAACTGGAGATGAGAACCAAAATCTATACATCACCATGACATCACAGAGGTCATCCATACTGCCGCTTCTGGTGGGGGCTGTGTTAACTAGAAAGTCAGGAAGTCACACCTGTGTTTTTGTGGCCCTTAATAGTTTCGTTTAAAGAACTAATAACAGCCAAAAAAAAAGCAAAAAACCCCGTAACAGTAAGAGCTACTTCCCCAGCTTTATTTATTTAATTTATTTATTTGTCTTTTTCAGACAGATCGGGCTGGCCTTGAGCTCTTTGTAGCCCAGGCTGGTTTTGAACTCTCAGTGATCCTCCTGCCTCAGACTCTCAGGTGCTAGGATTACAGGTATGCGCCACCACACCCAGCTCTACTCCCAATTAAAAAATTTTTTTTTTAAATTTGAGATAAGATCTTACCAAATCACTAGGTTACGCTAACAACTGTGTGTAGGAACCTTGAACTTGCTATCCTCCTGCTTCAGCCTCTAGGACTGCTAGGATTATAAGCCTGTGCTCAGCCATAGAGCTATTTTAAAGGGATCCACAGTGAGCTCTCTTTGATGCAGGGACCATCTTTCCACCTCCTTCCCCTCCCTTTTCCCCTCCCCCTCCTCCTCCTCCTCCTGTCCCACCCACTGTCTACTGAGTTTGCACATCAGCCTGAACCAGCATCACCTGGATGGAGTCTGTGCAGATATCCAAGGTGCTGGGCTATGCAGGTGATGAGGGGGTGGGATTCACTTCAGTTAAGTCACCAGTAGTGGTAAACAGCCAAGGTGCCCAGAACCTTCAGCCTTCTTAGTGAAAGCCTGCACTGGGGCACACCAGTCATCCCAACACTAGGAAGGCTGAGGCAGGAGGACCAACTGTTCCAGACCCATCTGGGTAACTTGGTGAGACCCCGCTACCCCATCTCAAAACAGAAAACACCACAAAGTCCAAAATCAGAGCTGGTGGAAAGTCTTAGAGTAGGTTATTCTACAAAGACTGGCACAGTTTCTCCTTCATAAAAACTAGGAACTTTCTGATTTCGTTCCACAGCACTACATCTCCACTCCTAAATACCTTAGCTTTCAGGAAATGAGCTTTTGAGAAGTGTCCACATATCACTCGGGTTTATGGGAAGGAGTACAAAAACATTGAAATATCTTACTTAAAATGTACAAACACATGTGAGTGTGGGTAAGAATTTCTTCAAAACAGGATGCTCAGTATAACTTCAATAACAACAATACAGCCTTGGTCTATCACTTCTTTCTTTTGTGGGGCTCCAGAGTGCTAAATGGAGTCTTAGGGGTCACCTTTACTTTCCTAACATAAACCTACAATATCATCCATCCAGATTGGGATAAAGAAGTTGTTAGGGCCAATCATGATAGTGCATAGTAGCATTCATGGAAGCTGAGGCAGGAAGGTTGCCATTTCTAGCCAGACCTGGGCAATGCAGCTAGACTATCTCACAATGAAACATTAAAAAGTCAGATTCGGGTGTAGCTCAGTGTGAATTGCTGATCAATCCCCAGAACACACCCCTAAGAGTATAGGTAGCTATAAGACCTGTGGTTATAGGTAACACATTTATGTTCTATTTAGAATTCAAATGATATGCAGATTATCCTAGATTTTAATAATTTCAATTTTCTGCCAAACTTTTAGCCAGATGTAGATTGCTTTATCAACACTTTAAACGGAAGTATGCTGTCATCAGTCTTGGTGGTGCGCGCCTTCCATCCCAGCACTGGGGAGGCAGAGGCAGGAGGGCTGCTGAGACACTGAAGCCAGTCTGGACTATATAGGGAGTAACAAACAAAAAAGCATCAAATAATGAATGCACTCAGGTGCGCTAAACCTGCCTACATAATGCTCCAGAGCTCTCGAGTGAAGAGTGAATTGTCCCTGTCTCAGCAGCTCTTTCCCTGGTGACTTTGTAGTATTACTATTAGGCGTTTGCATGAGGCATACTTTCTCTGTGGGCCCCTGGTACAGCACCTGACACCTCCTGATTCTTTCACTCCCACATGTTTTGGTCCCCTTCCTATGGGCACAAGATCTGTCTTCACTGCACACGCTGCCTCGGCAAAGACTGTGTCTCTGCTTCCTCACAATCGGGTGCCTGCAGTGACCCGGTGGTAAGGGACAAAGGGGTGCTTCCGCCGCTGGCCCCTGCCACCCCCAGGCCTCTCCTCCTGCAATGCAAGGCTCAGGGTGGGCCCCCCCCCCCCCTCAGGCTACGGCTTTAACACAACGGAAGGGAAAGCTGGACGCATTCTCATTTCCAGATTGTGATAGGAGAGAAAGACTTTTCTGAATTTTGGCCTCAGACTCCAGATGATCTATCTTCCTGCCTTGGCCTCTAGGCCTCCAGAGTGCTGGGATTGTGCCCGGCCAGCTCTGGCTTTCTGCACAAGCATCTTGTGAGCCAGGAGAGTGAGTGTCATAGCTCCTCTCCGCTCGGATCCCAAGAAGGCCCGCAAGTCCCGCGTGGACCTGAGCAGAAGGCAGACCAGTGCCCAGCTCCTCCGGCTGCCTATCTGCAGCCGCTTCTGGACCTAAGCGTCCCCGCGCAGGAAGCTTCCTTGTTTGCATTCCGGATCCCGATCCCGATCCCGATCCCGATCCCGATCCCGATCCCGATCCCGGGCGCTCCCCGCACGCTGCGATTCCTCCTCCGCGCCTGCGCAGGCGCTGCTCACCCCCTCACCCCGGCAGGCAGCACTTAAGCACCCCGAGCGGCGAGCGGGGGAGCTCCTGGAGGGAAGGGGCGGCTCCGGGCGACCGCTGCCCACCGGGTGGGCTTTGCGGCGGCCATTCGTCCTGGCTTCCTGCCTGCAAAGGGACAGAGCTTAGAGACCGGAGTTTCAGAGTCCGAGAGGGACGGACTGACGGACAGATGTTAGGACGCACAGCTGAGCCCGGGTCCTATACGCCCGGTGTGGCATCGCCTCTGGGCGCAGCGCTGTGACTCAGGCGCGGAGCAGGAAAGCCCTCGGCTGTCCCACCCCAACCCTCTCCCCAGCCCCCCGCCGGCAGAAGGGAAAGTCCGGAGCGGACCGCTCCCCAAGAGGAGGAAGCAAAGGCGACGCTCTGCGGCCGCCCGGCGTGACGCGAATTTAGCAAGGCCGGCGGCGCTGCGTGCCCCAGCGACAGGGGTTTGGGCAACAGCCGGCTGCGGTGCCCTCTGATGGCAACGACGGAAAGAGTGGGGGACCCTTAGGCAAAGAAGTCCCTAGGTGCTCTGCTTCCAGTGCGGGCAAGAAATGTCCCTGCATTCACGTTAAATAACAACGAGCTGCATTCGCTGTGCATAGCGCGCGCTCCAATTTAGGATTCGAACTGCACACTGAGGTCACCCAGAAGGACGCAGGCGGCCCTCAAGGTTAGACCTGAGTACCCACGGAGCCCTGCAGAAGAGCTCCAGGTGGCACAGGCAGCAAATACCAACTTGACACCTGCAAATGACCAGTGATCACCTTTCAGCTTGAGGCTGTTTTGCCTTTATATAAGGTAACAAATGCAAGTGACCTGTTTCCAGAATCTTTTGTTGTCCTCAGCAGTAAGGCTGCCTAACTTAATTTTTTTGAGACAGGGTCTCTCCCTATGTAGTCCAGGCTGGTCTCGAACTCCTCTTGCCTCAGCCTCCCAAGTGCTGGGATTGTAAGTGTGCACTGCCACTCCTGGCTAAACTATAATCTAAGAACCATTTTTATACATAATAATGTATAAAATTGACCCAATGGAGAGCGATTTATAGGACTGGGGGAAAGTGATCCCCAAGTATAGAAAGATGTTGAATAAAGGCCTCAAAAAATCTATTCTGAAGGAAAGAGGATCGCAAATTTGGCCCATCCTGGGCAATCTGATTTAGCAGCTTAGTGAAACCCTGTCTCAAAATTTAAAAAAAATTAAAATTTAAGAAGGGGCTCAGAAGCAGGTGTGCTGGCACACACCTGTAATCCTGTACTTGAGAGGCTGAGGCAGGATGACTGCTATGAGTTCAAGGTTAGCCTGGGCTCCATAGTGAGAACTCGTCTCAACACCAGAAAGAATCCTATTCCTGTTGTGAATGTTTAAAGTATGCTGATGGTTGTGACACCACTGTGAAGTAGTGATGTTGACATCAGTTCCTGGCTGAGCAGGGCCTCAGTGTCCCCAGGATTCTGAGTCACTTGACAAGTATGTGCTCAGCAGCTCCTTAGTGCAGACCTGGGAGTGGTGGCGGCATGGTCACATGTGGTCATGTTTGTACATGTTGTCAGCATGCTTTAGGGAAACCTAAAGATGCACAGGACAGGAGAGGGCTGGAACTTTCGCTCCCTCCCCAGTGAAAGACCCGGAGAAGGGCTGTGGTAACCCACACTCTGCTCTGTGGACAAAGGTGGACCACCGCATAGTGGTGCGTGTTTGTAATCTCTGCACTCTGGAGGCTGAAGCAGGAGGATCGCTGTGAGTCTGAGGCCGGCCTGAGCTCATAGCAAGACTGTCTCAAAAAAAGAAAGAAAAAAATACAGAGCATAATGTAAGTGTCGCAGGGCAGCAAGGATGGGCCTGTGTTGGGACAGACAACACAAGGTTAGACCTGAGGGCCATCCCAGAGGGACCCCCTACCCAGATTCAGTGCCACTCTATTGAAGCCCCTGGTGAAAGTTTGGGGTGAGACCTGGAGAACCTGGATGGGTTCATTAAGATTTGGGATTGGGGGATGCTTTTCTTTCCACCTGGATCCCTCCCTGAAGGCAATTTCAGCCAAAACCACAGGCACACAGGCCCCACAGAGCCTGCCACACTCCTGCTTAGGAAGAGCAGAGCTTCCCAGAAGACAGCAGAGCTAGGGTTCCAGTGAGCATCATGGGAAAGGATGACGTGGCAGCGGACATCACTCAGCCCTCTGCCAATCATGCTGTCAGTCACACTCTGGAAGACCAGTGGGAAGCACCGTGGACCGGGGCCCTCAGCGCCCCTGCGCATTCCCTTTGCATCCCTAGGGCAGCACATTCAGAGTGCGTCGTCGCCTCATCAGACGTTGCTAAACTCTCCTGCTTCTTCCTTACTGTTGCGAGCCACGTCCCTTTCTTTGTCCACTGTGCACAAGAACCCAGAAACTCGTTCAGGGCCGTGTCAGCCATGGTGACACTCCCAAAAGGAGTCGGAATGTGTGATGGATATGCACGCGCTCCCCACAGTGAATGCCACTGTTATGTCCTGCAAACACGTATTCATAAAAAAAAAAATAAATTCTTAAAAAAGGAACAGCCTAACAGTGTCACAAGTCTGTAATCCCAGTGCCTGGGAGGCTGAGGCAGGAGAATCACCATGGGTTGGAGGCCAACCTGGGCTACAAAGTGTGTTCAAGCCAGCCTGAACTACATAGTGAGACCCTGTCTCAAAAAGACCAAAAGTAAAATAAAACAACAACTCCAACAACAACACAAAAGGGTTGCTAGCTCATCCGGAAGCAGGGTTTCTAGAGAGGGCTGGGACTGATGTTTTCATTCGGGCAAAGTTGCCCAGTCACTAACCCTCAGTTAGTTTACTTCCCCATACTAAGACAGGGAAGATATATTTAGCTTAATGCTGGGGCTTGAATGTTTTTGGCATGTTGTTACCAGAAATTAATCTCTGATTTGCTTTCTCCGATGTAATATCTTCTGGCCACATGCAGTTAAATTAAGTAATTGCAATAAATTAAAATTTTGGCTGAACATGTTGGTGTATGCCTGTAAACCCAGCACTTGGGAGGCTGAGACAAGGAGGATCATGTGAGTTGGAGACTGACCTGGACTACCTAGTTCAAGGCCAGCCTGGACTACACAGACTTTTGAGACTTTGTCTCAAAAGAAAGAAAATGGTATTATACTTAAGTTTTACAAAAAAAAAAAAAATTCAAAAGTTCAAAAAATTCTGGTAGAAGCCTTATGAATGAAGGCTATAACATTGTATAAATAAGCTGGATGTGGTGATACATACCTGTAATCTCAGTACTCTGGGAGACTGAGGCAGGACGATCATAAATTTGAGTTCTGCCTTGGCAGCTTATCAATTTATGGAGTCTCAAAATTTTTTAAAAAAAAATCTTTTTTTTGGTACCAGGGATCGAACTCATAACCTTGGGCTTGCCAGGCAGGCGTTTACACCATTGAGCTAAATCCCCAGCCCTTAAATTAAAAAGTTTTAAAAAGAGCTACAGATATAGTTCAGTATTAAGTCCTTGGGTTTAATACCCAGTGCTACCAAAAAGAATCAAACAATGTTTAGAAAATGAAAATCATTAGATGAAAAAGTAATCAATGTCAAAAGTTTAAAATACTCAAGTTAAAATAATTGAAGGTCCTTTTCCTTTTGTCTGTGATTGTGGTAGGAAAGATTCATGTCACAGCATTTTCAAAGAAAGGGTGTGAGGCTAGAGATTTAGTGGCATAAGAGTCTTCCTGGCAAGTGCAAAGTCCTGAGTTTGATTCTGAGTACCCAGATTTAAACTGAAAGAAAGAAAGAAGAAAGGGCCTAGCCAGGTGTGGTGGCACATGCACATAAACCCAGCACTCTGGAGGCCAAGGCAGGAGGACTGTTGCAAATTCAAGACCAATCAGTGCTACAAAGTAAATTCAAGGCCAGCCTGAATTACATTGTGAGAAGCTGTCTCAAAAAGGCAACAAACAAACAAACAAATGGGAGCGCAGTGTGTATTTTTAGGGTTACCTGTGCACAGGCACACACACTGTCCAACATGCATTCCTTTTTTGCCAGGCAGGCACTTGTGCCTCTGAGCTAAAACCTGGGCCCCAGCACGTATTCCTCCGAGATGAGGTTATGTGCACTTTGCATGTTCAGATGTAGGGGGTGGGGGCTCTGGAAAAGGAGAAGCATCCTTGTGGGAGCTTGTTCTCCTTAGCAGGTCTCCACTCAGTCAAAGCTGCTTTGCTTTAGAAAAGAGATGCCTGATGTGACTACAGCATCAACATAAAAGGAAAAAGGGTGGCCCAGCGTTTACAGCAGGAAACAAACCACCCCACATTTACACGATGGAGTACATCAGGGGACCAATCTCATCACCTGCGTTCTCTTCTTATTGTTTTGTTTTGTTTTGAGACAGGGTCTCATTATGTAGTTCAGGTTGGCCTCAACCTCCCAAGTGCCACCGCGCCTGGCTTCTCTTTTGTCTTACAAGGGAAAGGACTTAGGCATAAACTTCTAAACCAAACCTGTGTTTTGGTAGCGCAGCTCTTAGCTCAGGAAGCATGGCAGGTGCTCCCCCACTTCCTGCACGCACTGGATTCCTGACTGAGGCTCAGCTGGGTGGTGGGATCCTCTGACAGGGATGCCCTGCAGGAAAGGAATTGTGGCCTTTGTACCTGAAAGGAAATGGCCAGCGAACACAGACAAAGCTGCTCCTGAAGCCCAGAGCCTTCAGAAAAGGTCTGAGAGTACCTTTCAGTTATTTCCACCTCATAGACCATCTTAGCTTCAAAAGCTGCGTTATGTAGGGCTTTGTTGTTGTTAGTACAAGCAAAGTATAACAGCTTCAATGTAGCAGGAAATAGTTTTTTGGGGGTATGGGGGACACAACCTAAGACCTTGGTACTCAGCTACATCCTCAAACCACCACCCCCGCTTTTTTGGAAACAAGGTCTCGCTTAGTCCATAGGTTGCCCACACTGAGCAGAAGTTTTGATCCTTCTGCCTTAACCTTCCAGAAAACTGAGATTACCGAGGTGTTGCTATGCTCAGCTAAAACACGAAATCATCTTGAAATTTAAAAAAAAAAAAAAATCATATCGTTCCCAGGCTGTCATTCGAGGGTTTCCAGGGTGAAGCCCCATTCCTGCTGCGCCCCGTGGCTGTGTCTGGTTTGAATACAGTTTCGGGTCCGACTTCTTCACTTTTTCCCTGATCCTTTAGGGGCTTCAGGGAACCTTTCCATGTCGCTACAGACAGAGACAGGCAGTCCTTCTGTACAAAGAAGGGTTTTTACTGTGACTCGTTTTCCAACTTGTGCAAAGCAAATAG